AAATCTTTTTTCTTTATAAATTACCCAGTCACAGGTATCTCTTTTAGCAATGCAAGAATGGATTAATACATATCCCTACCTAAAACCACCATGAAATCAACTTGTACAATACATACCCCTACCTAAAACCACCATAAAATCAACCTGAAGATAGTCTCTGCACCACAAAGAATCAGACCAAAAAAAAAAAAAAAAAAGGTTAGATGATTCTGAAAAAGTGGATTATTTGCTATTTTCATGTCCTACTTTTGTATGCTCAATTTTTGGGTCCTGGTAACAGTCTTACATGTTTCAAAAAAGTCTTACATGTTTCAAAAAAGTCTAGACAAGAATAATCCAGAGCAGAAACAAACAAACAAAAAAAACCCCTACATATTTTAATCACTGATTACCCTTTGCCTGAATGGCATGTCTTTTTGTTTGTGTTTTTCCTGAGAGTGGAGTTGAATATTAGGACTTATTTTTAGTTTGCTGGTTCTGCTGATAATGGAAATACCCCAGCACCAATTTACTGCTTGCTAAAAAAAAAAAAAAAAAAACAAACTGAAAAACTAAAAACAAACAAAATGATCTGGCATCAACGTAGAATTAAATAAGGAAATGGCAGCGATGCCCAAGGTAAAGTAATGCAAGTGAGGATTACCTGCAACTCTGTTCTTTGGTGTGAATATCTGAAATGTGACACCATTAAGAAAATCCCTCTGTCCCTCAGAATAACGTTTCCCAAAGAGTGGTCCTAAGACCACCTGCCTGGCTCACCTCTGTTCTCTGAGGCCATTCTCTATGGTGGTGGGTGCGGACTTTCACCCAGGGAGAAACTGTTCCCAGCAACCTCTCCAGGTGACTCCTGTGCACAGTGAAGCCTGAGAACCCGTGCAGCTGACAGTTAACTACATAACTGACCTTCGAGTTGGAAGGGAACACCGCTGCTTCAGACTCAAAAAAAAAAAAAAACCCTTAAAAAGCAGACTTTGTTTCTTGAAAAACACACCTTTGGGCTTGCCTCACAGAATACCAACAGCCACTGTGGCAGGCACAAGCCTGACAGCTGGGGAAAATAGTTGGCTCTGGGGACACCCCCACCTTTCCCAAGTCCCCCAGGCCGAGGATGACATATCCTTGTATCACACCGTTTCAGCGTCACCAGGCAGGGACAATGGTGGGATGAGACACAGCACAGTCCCGTGTAAAATGACAGAAGGACACATAAGTACTCTACCTTTTGAAAGTCAGATGTCCTGGGAGGATAATGTGCCCAGCTCTAGGCGGCCATGGGGAGAAATTCCCACCCCCACCCGCAGGACAAAGGCCAACCTGCCGGGAGGCTGGGCATGCTCCAGCCCAGGTGGTTCAAACGTGCAGCCATTCTCTAAGAGGTAGCTGAAGGTGTCTGCCTTCTGGGACATGGGCCTTAATGACGGACAATTAAAAGAGCCTTCCTTGCCCCCCTGTCTTTCCTAATAAGAGGCAAAGCCACCGGGAAAATCAATTTGAGAAACGTGGCATAGAGCGGGCTGTCCCACACAGCTGGGATGAACAGAGACAGAGCACTAGAGGCTGTCCTGGAAAACTCAGATCCATCTACATGGTGGCAAACTACCGCAGGGCTCAGACAGCGCCTGGGGGAGAAACAGAGCATTGCGCCAACTTAGAAACGAAGCCTCATTGCAGGCAGAAGAGCGGCTGCCTTTCCTGCTGACCGTGTCCTTGGAACTCAGGCTGGGCGCAGGGAGGCTGACGTGAAGGGCTGAAGGCCAAGGTGACCACAGGAAGGAGGAAGAGGCCATCTTGCTCAGAATTTCAGGCAATGGTGATTTCAGGGGTGAAAAGAGGGGACTATCACAACTAAGTGGAGGACCCTTCAGAGGGATGTGGGGGTGCAGGGCCTAGGTGGGGATAAGAGGGCTCCTGTGGGCCCAGGAACAGCCAGCAAACCAGCCTGTCACACCCACCAGAGGCGCCCAAAAGTCCTGATCTTGCCCACAGAAGGGGGCAGGAGAGGAGCGCCGTAAGTCCAGGTGAAGGGGTCAGCCCTCCCCAGCTCTCAGGCAAACTTCCACTGTCGCCACAGGCTCCCTGAGCTAGGATCCCAGATTTCGCGGCCTGTCTCCTCAGCACTAGGGGCACCAGCACCAGGCAGGAAAGTGAAGAAAAACTGCAGAGTCTAAGCGGATGGACAGGGAGGGCTCCAGGAAGCGTCATGTGGGCACCAGAAGGCGAGATGACAAGGGGGCTAGGAACCCCCAATTCAGCTAACTTGATTCACCCAGTTTTGCTCTAAGGAGGACTGCCTTTTAAACACAGTCTGTTGAAGTCTTCTTACAAGTTGCCATGGAGTAACATACCTAACCCGTGTTACCGCCACGTCACCTCCCAGCCGCCCACTAGGCTGGTGAGAGGATCTCTTCCACTTCATGGCTTAGGAAATGAAGGCGTGGAGAAATCAGGCAATTAGGAGCGGAGGGACCAGGTTCACCCCGGCCTTTCATGACTCCAAAGCCAGCACTCCGATCTCAGTGCCGTGACAGCAGCGGTTCCAATCCTGACTGCACACAGGGGTCCCTGAAAAGCTTCCGGATGTCCCAGGATGGCAAGGGCCCTGTCTGTATCCCTTTACCTAGCACTGTGCCTGGCACAAGTTAGAAGTTAAATCAAAGCATATTGAATGACTGCATGTGAGTAAAATTACTGCTAGATTTTATTGTATTTTAATAACACTGGTATGTGTTCATGATGCAGAAATTCAGATGACATAAAAGCCCTAGCAGCCAAGTTAGGGGCTGTTCACCCTGAATTCAGGCCAAGATCTAGAAAGTGCCAGCCTTTGCCATGCTGACTTTACCAACCTAAATATGAAGTGGCACAGTGGCCTCCTGTGAGGGTAGCAGAGAGCCAGCACAGCACCAGCTACCCTCCAGCAGGGCTGGTACCCAGGGCAGCTACCAGAGCTGGCTTTCAGAGGAGGCCCAGCCGCTCTCTACAGAGCACACGTGCTGTTGGTACTGGGCACCCCACACTCCAGATTCACTCAACCACTGGCCATCCTTCTCCTCTGGACACAAAGAGGTGCCCAACTTCCTCGGGGGTTCCCGCCCTGGGCTCACTTCTCCCTGTCACTGGCTCTGGGGGTGCAGAGAGCAGCTGGCATGGGTCGGGAAGAGGGAGTGGAGAGGAAGTGGAGTGGCAGCGGTAGGTCCGTCTGTCTGCACGGGGCCTGGTGGGAAAGTACAGGCCAGCGGAGACCTTTCCTGCACATAGGAAATGAGCGGGAAAGGAATCCAGGGGCAGGGCGGGGAAGAGGCTCACAGAGAGTGGCTCTAACTCAGGAAATGCTTCCTAAAGGGAGGAGGAGGCAAGAAACAGAAACAGCACGGGTGGAGAGGCCTGGAAACCTCCTGTGTGAGTCAGGATTAGGATAAACGGAGACGGGGTGCAAGGTGGGAGGGTACCTGGGGACCCGTGCGGAGGGGCTGCTGCTCTCCCAGGGAAGAAGGGCGTGGTACCTAGCAGGGAGAGGGCTGGGAGGAGACAGGCGACAGTTCTACCTGAAGCCAGACGGTGGGGGGGGGGGCCCAGAGCGGGAGCAAGAAGGGGAAGCTGAACCAGGTCGGCCCCAGGAATGGGTGACAGGTCAGCTGTGTCGACATGGCCCTGGTGCACATTCCAGCCTTCTCTCTGCAGCCCTGGAAGGCATGGGAGGAAGCACACCCGCAAGTGAGTGTCGGGCGGGAGGTCTCGGCAGGATGGCCTCTGGGGACCCTGGTGTTCCTGCCTACGTGGCACGCTCTTAAATGTGCATCCACCCCATCTTCTCATGGGAGTTTCAGTTTTGTTTCTTGTGACTTCTATCTCCACTGAACTGTTCGGCCCCACCCCAACGATATCCCCAAGCTGGTTCCACAGAGCAGGCTCTTGCTCTCCAGCCCTGCCACCTCCCCACTGTGCACCCTCCACAGCCGGACACAGAGTGACACACCTAACCCGTGTTACAGCCGCGTCGCCTCCCAGCCGCCCATTAGACTGGTGAGAGGATCTCTTCCACTTCATGGCTTAGGAAATGAAGGCGTGGAGAAATCAGGCAATTAGGAGCGGAGGGACCAGGTTCACCCCGGCCTTTCATGACCCCAAAGCCAGCACTCCGATCTCAGTGCCGTGACAGCCACAGTTCCAATCCTGACTGCACACAGGGGTCCCTGAAAAGCTTCCAGATGCCCCAGGATGGCAAGGGCCCTGTCTGTATCCCTTTACCTAGCACTGTGCCTGGCACATGTTAGAAGTGAAATCAAAGCTTGCTGAATGACTGCATGTGCGAGTCTGTGAGTGAATACACTTCCCTGCCGTGGACAACACTGTCATTCTTCCATCATCCTGACCTGAAGCCTGGAGCCACCTCAACACAGGAGCCCACCAATTGGCCCCAGACTAGTCTCTCCCTTCCTCCAGCCCTCTGCACATGGATAGCCAAGGAACCTTCTCAGAACAGCCCTTTCACCCTGTCACCTTACGTTGTTCAAGGTTTCCAGGGCTTGCTCTGGGTTTGAGTATATACTTGCAATTCCTTGATCTGCTATTTAAGAGCCCCAGTGACCTGGTTCTAACTCGTCCTTTCACTCACATCTCCCACCACTCACGAATGGTTCTGGCCAGGCGAGTGTCCTTCTTGTCTCCTGTATATTCCCACTAATGTGACTGTGGACCACGGATGGCACGTCCCTCTCTCTCCACCACCTGTCTGGATCCTACCATCTGGGAGGATGGAACTCCTCCGCTTCGCCCCTGCTCCCAGGGAGCCCTTCCAACGCCGAACGCCAATGCCACGGATCTTACCTGGCTCCGTTCTAATGTGACTTCCAATTGACATTGCAATGTGCACATGTCCTAATTTCCTAAGTACATTAAGATCACTTGAGGACAGGAACTGCAGGCTTACTAAGGCTACACATTCTCTGTGAGTGCCACTGGGCATTCCGCAGCTCCTGTCTCCATGCGGACGGTCTTACCTGTAATATCTGGACTGCAAGTAGGTGGAGCACACAGCCTTGGACACGTGGCTGGCTGAACCAAAGTCGATGACCTTGACTCGGTACGGTTGTCTGGAGGGATCCACCAGCATGATGTTTTCTGGTTTGAGGTCAGCATGGATAAGACCTAGGCTTTTAAGTTTCATCAGGGCTGTGGCTACCTGCTGGAGAACTGGGCGAATATATTTGAGGGGCAAGGGGCTGAACTTGTTTTGCTTCAGAAAGTCATAGAGGTTCTGTTCCAGCATCTCGAAGACCAAGCACGTGTGGTTCTTGTGCTGGAAGCACTCGTAGGCCCGGACAAAGTTGTAGTCATCAGCACTCTCTGTGCTCAAGCGGGCCAGGATGCTCACTTCGATCTGACCTTGTCGGGCATAGGACGGGTGGTTCTTCAGGATCTTGATGGCCACGATCTCGTTGGTGCCCCGTTTCCAGCACTTGACCACTTGCCCAAACGTCCCTCGGCCCAAGAACTCTAAAACCTCGTAGGTGTTGGTCATGGAGCACAGCACCTCATGCTGTACCAGCTGATAGTCGCCCTCGCTGTTGGAGCCGCTGTTTTTGGAGGTGGCAGTCGACGTGGTGGCAGTGGCGACAGTGGCCCCGCTTGCATTATTCTGAATCATGGGTGGATGCTCCTCGATGATCTGCACACTGCTTGTGTTCTCGATCTCCTCGCTCTTACGCTTGAGTCCACATTTTTGGTAGGTATCCAGTAGGCTCACAGTGCTTCGACGCATTAGGTTATGTGGTCCGCCGAGGACCTGCCCGGTGGCAGAAGTGCTGCTTGCTGATGTGACCACGATGTGCCCGGTGCTTCCTGGGAAGATGATGGTCTGCTCGTAAGGTAGGCTTGGGTTTGGGACCGGCAAGGAGGTGCTGACGGTTGTGGCTGGCTGCGACGGGGGGATGTTCTTGCTCTGGCTATACACTTTGCTGTGGGAGCCGTACCCAGTCATGTCCCAGTTGGAACTCGGCTCTATTTTCAGTTTCTTCACACTACAGAAGGCACTTGATTGAAGGGTGTGAGGGGAGAAAACTTGCACATGTGAGGCCATACCTACAAGGAAAGGAGGCAAAAGGTAAGTATCAGAGTCACTTTGGTGCAAGTCAACTCAACAGATCGCCTCCAGTGCTCAGCCGTGGCTTCAGCCGTATCGAGTATTTTCTTCTCACCTGAAAACAAGGTTGGAAAACCGAATCTGTTCCACCCAGAAGCACACTCTGGTCATTGAGTTTGTGGAACCAAGTGGTTCCAGGGTGTCACCTGCCACCATTAGGTGCCAGCAACACAGCTGAGACGCAACAACAGAATTTCAGTATCAGGACATAGGTCATCATCTGTTTTTGTAATAGGCATTATCTGTGGCAGAGATGGATTCTTCCTCAGTTCTCCCTGGGCTGCTTCCTACTGAAACTGAAGACTCAGGAGGCATCGCTAACTGTCAGGTGCTTTGCTGCCTGCATAATCAGCTCAGCCTTGTCAAGAGACCCTGTCCGGTTCACTGGTTTGAGGAAACATCTTCCCACACAGGCCCCATCACCAGGCCACTCAGGATCTTCTGGATCCTGGAGGAACCCTAATTACTACCTGGCATCTTAGTCATCGTAAATGAATTCTGTAGGGTTGAGTGACTTTCATCTTGACAGCCTAAAACATTTTCTCAGCCTCAATGGTGGGGACTGGGTAGCACAATTTGTGCTCACCTTTCCTGACTCACCTTTCGTACTAAATTTCATATATCAATCCATTTCTCTAGAAAGTACTATTTCTTTTTTTTTCTTTTTTCTTTTTTTTTTTTTTGAGACTGAGCCTCACTGTTGTTGCCCAGGCTGGAGTGCAGTGGCGTGATGTCGGCTCACTGCCATCTCCGCCTCCCAGATTTCAAACCATTCTCCTGCCTCAGCCTTCCAAGACTGGGATTATAAGCAGGTGCCACCACACCCGGCTAATTTTTGTATTTTTAGTAGAGATGGGGGTTTCGCCATGTTGGCCAGGCTGGTCTCAAACTCCTGACCTCAGGTGATCCACCCTCCTCAGGCTCCAAAAGTCTTGGGATTACAGGCGTGAGCCACTGCGCCCGGCCGAAAGTACTATTATTTCATACCAACATTTCATCCATGATTTAGATGAACTCAGAAGCCTTTAAGACCACTATTCTGGAACACTTGTACAAATTATGGTGATACTGAAACAAGAATTTACAGAAAAAAGGTGATGAAGAAGGATAACTCCTTAAAGGTAAAGAGAGAAACAAACATTGCTCATCTTCTAAGCCACAGCTGACAAAAATTTCTCACAGAAGCACAGGGAAGGGAGCATGTGGAAGCAGTACTGGTGGGGGCTAACCTTGTTCCTGACTCTTGAGCCCCCGGCATTACCTAGAGTAGCTATTCAACATCCTCTCCACTTCATCAGCTGTCACCCTAGTCCATCTTCTCTCTTGGTCGATGACCCAACTTCCACATTTTCTAGAAGTCTGAGGTCAACCTTACCTTTCCTCCTTTATTTCCTTCTTCCTTTCAGAACATTCCTGAACCTGCCCCATCGTCCATCCTTCATTCCTTCTCTCCAGTCTGAGAGAAAGGGGCGTTGCTCTTTTCCAACACTGAAACACTTGCCCCATTCTTATGATCCCTATGTGTCCCATTTTCGCTTGAACCTGCTTCTGCCACAGTTCTTTCTATTGTAGCTTTCCATTTCTCCCCGTACTTAATTGGATCCAGGCACTTAGTAGGAACTTAATATGGCTGGCCAAATGAATCAATCACTCATCTTTTTCTTCTGCCTTCACGTGTGTGCACACACAAACTCCCAACGTGGAAGGCAAAAGGTTTAACAGCTGCATTCCCCCCTCTTAATTCTTGCCCTCCTCTCACCTGTGATCAATGGTTTATGCTCCCTTTCTTCAATGCCCACATGTTAATCCATCTCTATAGGCTGGTGTTCTTAAAGGTAAATGACTTCCTAATTGCCTAATCCAATGGCCTTTTTTCAGCCAGTTCTTCTTAATGTCTGCAACATCTGATACTGCTGACCACGACTTCCTTCTTGATGCTCTTATCTGGACTTCAGTCAATCTGTAACCTCCCCCTCCCGTGTCTGATTGCATACTCTGCGCTTGGGTGGTTCCTCTTCCTTCTTTATTTTATTATTATTATTTGAGGCAGAGTCTTGCTCTCTTGTCCAGGCTGGAGTGGTGCTATGTCGGCTCACTGCAACCTCCATCTCCTAGGTTCAACCCATTCTCCTGCCTCAGCCTCCCGAGTAGCTGGAACTACAAGTGTGCACCACCACGTCCAGCTGATTTTTGTAGTTTTAGTAGCGACAGGATTTCACATTGGCCAGGCTGGCCTCAAACTCCTGACCTCAGCCTCCCAAAGTGCTGGGATTACTGGTGTGAGCCATCACGCCCGCCTCTCTTCCTTTAAAATGTTCCCATCTCCACTGTTTTGACTCTGTTCTCTCCGGTAGATATCATCCATTCAAGCAGTTTAAGCCGTCACCTCTGTGTAGGTGACCCCACATGTTTACACCGGCTGGGCTCTCCTTCAGAGGTGACAGTGATAGATCGTTACCTCCTGCAACAATGTCAAAGACGCGCTTCCAAAGCCGAACTCCTTACTTGTTCCCAAAAATCTAGCCATCTCACCCTCCGTTCTAACATTTCCATGACTGTTCATAAAGTGTTTTTCTAGTCACTTGGCTCCAAAACTATGAACTATGATGGTTCTTCTTTACCTTCATAGACAAGAAGGTGCTAAGGCATATTAATCACTCCTTCCTTCAAAACATCTCTTGCATCCAATCATTTCTGCTGTCGCTGCCACTTCCATAGTGAAAGTGTTGATCACTTTCTAATAGGACTAAAGCAAATAGAGACATCTTACCTACCTGAGCACTCTAGCTCCCTTTAATTTGCCTATATTTGGCCACCAGATTAATCTTCCTAGAACATCTCTGAGCATGTCACTCCCCTCTCCAAACTTCAGTAGCTCCTTAGTGTCAAGGAGATAAAGTTGGGAACTCAACACCTTTGCTTGTTGATTCCGACTACCTTGTTAGTTCCAGCTCTATTAACCTTCCTGGATCCTCAGCTCGAACGAAGCTGGTCTATTCACTGGTTCCAGAATGTCTCTTAAACGCCCTACCTTCATACTCTTACACCATTCCTCTACTGCTACTTCTCTCAACTTATCCAAAGACCAGCCAGACTAGATTCCTTTTCTTTCCAGACCACTCCAAGCCAGTGATCATTCCCATTTCTCTGTTCCTACAGAACATGCCATATGTACCATCTGACTTTGGCTCTGACTTCCTAAGGGCAGTTCTGCTAATACCCAGCCCCTGCTCTGAGCCCCGCCTCCGCCGGGCCCATGGATCTGCTGGCAGGTTCCCTTCTTGCTTCAATCCTGAACTCTGACCTCCACCTACACACTGTGACTGCACATCTGCAGGAATCCTCGTGCCTGACTAGACTCTTCCGGCTTGCTTATTCAGAATCTGTACTTCACCTGTTTCTTCCCATGGCTCCTTTTTGTTCAAGTCAACATCCCCCTTATTCTAGAACAACACATAATATGGCTATTCCCTATTTACCAGTATCAAGTGAATATCCATATTGTTCTAGATGTTGTATACAATATAGAAACAACCAATTACTTGGCTTTCGGTGACTTATCCACTGAAGACGCAAAGCAAAATAGCCATTTCCTTCCTTTTGTGTCTACCCTGCTGCTTATTTTTCACTCTTTAAGTCCCTGGAGCGGGGCGGTCAGAGATGGCAACAGCAGAAATATGCTGTTCATACATAAAGAAGGTGAGGCTCTAGTCTCTGTTTTCGCTGTTTCAAAAAGATCTTGGAAAGGCCGTCCAGGGTGCAGAAGTGGAATTTTACAGAGGGGAAGAGGGTGGCTTATGACTTATTTGTTATTGGGATGACAGCCAAGGGTCATAAAATTATAGAAATCATCACTGGCTGCCTCTGGTGACAGATGCCTGGGATCAGAGAGGAGAGCTGCGTGGCTGGAAACACTCTGCACCTCGGCCGGCTGCCTCAGTCTCCGGCCTGGCCTGGTGTGGCCCCTGCAGCCCCTTTCTGAGGTCAACAGAAACTATTCCAAAGGCTGGACCCAGCTCCCAGTGCAGCCATGCTACCTTTGCTCTGTGGCAGAGGCCACTTTGCTTCAGGCAGCAAAATGCTCCAACAAGACATAGTTAAAGAAAGTCTCTAACGGTAATACTTTCTTAAATCCCTAAAATATCTTTATAAGGAATAAGACTCTGCTGGTGGTTTTGTTGCTAAATCTTAAAATAATCTTATAGCAACACACTTATTTTCAAACATTTCTCCTCGAGAGTATTTCTCTGGAACAAATCTTCCTGATTAGTTTAGCTCTCAGACTCAAGCCCACAACATTTTACCACTGTATTTATTCAGATCCTAAGGTTGGGACAATAAAGCGGGGTGCAGAGGGGGACTCGATGTTTTTTTTCCACTTGAAAGCAAGAGCCAAATGTCTCCTCTTATTTCTTTCTGTACTGACCCTTGGACCAGTCAAGGCTACTTCCGCCTCATTTGTCAATCTCCTTTTCAGGAAAAACAGGGGCTTAATGCACATTGTCAGTTTGATCCTACAGCAAAATCTCAATTGCTTTTTAAGTCATTTCTATACTTCCTAGTTGGCTCTTGAATGAGAAGGCAGATTTTACTCCTCAGTGAGAGACCAGGGAGGCTACTGCACCTGGGAAGGCAGGTTTTGAGCCCATCAGGAATGTAAGAGGAACCCGGGAGTTCATGGTGGGATAAATCTGCCATAACCACACCTGCTCCCAGAGGGATGACCTGACCCAGACTTTTCCCCAAAAGCCTTAGTGGCCTCCCAAGATAAAACCTGTCAAAATGACCTCATTTTCATTCACTAAAGCACAGGGAGTCACCATAACCCAGAACTAAAGCTCTTAACAAGTTGCATATCTATTACCATATAACTGTCTCATAAACAGGCTGAAGTCATCAACACTGAACCTCAGAGATGCACACGGTCTTACGTGTTTGT